CACTGTATCTATGTTGACTTTATATGGTAACATTTTATGTTGTTTATCTACTGAATTACTGATGTTGTTTCCATAAATTTGCAGCATATATTACTCTACTGACATTATATTAATATCAATTGACACAGAAATATAGCATGGAAACCTTTATTTATTTATTTAAAATTTTCTTTTTATGCAGCAAATTTCCATTCTATCATATTGATTATTCATGATTTTATAAAGTCTTAAGTATTGTTGTTCTTCTTCATTGTGTCATCATTGTCATTATTACTTGTAGTCTCATTATCATCATTGTGTCATTGTTGTTATGGGAGTTGATTTGCTAGTTGGATCATTTAGCAAAGAACTCTAAATAATCCAGGAAACTTCTGTATGGCAAGCTAATTTGGGGCTTAAATGGAGTCCTCAGATTTTTTCTCTTCTCTCTATATTCTTGGAATAAGTCTGGGCTCAAAACACCTTGCCATGTGCTGAAAAGCCATTTCTTTATTGAGATAGGAATTGGGGCCATTACTTGGTGTGTTGGTAAAATCTTATGCTGGCAAGCATGAGATTGTTGGTTTAAGTCTGAGGGTGGCCACTTTGTGTGAGAAAATGCCAAGGATAATGGCCTTTTTATAAACAAGGATAGTAAGTGGTAATGGAGTCCTTGAATTTTTCTCTTCACTCTATACTCATGGAATAAGTTTGGGCTCAGAACACCTTGACATGTGCTAAAGAATTCCTTTCTTTATTGAGAACTTCCAAATGTTTTAATACACAGAAGCATGGGATAGAGCATTAGGATCTAGGATCTTTTTGTTTGAGAAAACACTAGGATCTTCTAATGCGTGAGGCGTAAACCTCATGAGATTTCATTGTTCCTTAATAAAAAAAGGAACTAAATTGATAATAACTGTAGAGCTATGCAATGAAGGACTATAGTTTAAGGATAGGTAATAGTAAGGTCTTACTTACGAACCTTATTGACGATTAGAAGGCTCTCAGTGTTAAACCAAAACCTGAAATGGGTGCTGACTGCTGAAAATCCCAAATATTTATACAAATCAAATAGACACCCAAAAGCAGAAGTCATAGTACGTGTGGCACAGACCTGAGTAAAGGTAGGGTAGTTGGTAGTTGTGATTGATCCTTGTCTTCTGGATCAATCGTGAGAAGAGAGCAGACTAACAGAGTGGGTGTAGGTGCTTACCTGCTACCCACAATTAGGAGAAATCCATCCAGATTCCAGATGAAAAGAGATAGGTAAAGGGGAATCAGAGTTCTAAGAGGCAGTCCTCTGCTGGTATTGATGGTAATTAGCTGGCAGAGAAAGGTACTTACCATAATGGATTGTCATCGAAGATGGTTGGTGGTGAGCTGGCTGGAAGCTGGAAGATTAATGGGAAAGACATGCAATGAAGTCATATACTGCATCATCTTTTACAAGTATGATTGCTGATGAGATTGTGGAGAATGGTAAGTCTAATAAGCGATCTGGTTCAATTCCAAGAAGAGATTCATGGGGAGGCAGATAAGGAGCAGGATTCTTACCTAGTAAGAGTAAAGTGAGGTGTGAGGGAGGCCCTCAAAATGATAGTACTGATATTCTTGTGCATCTTAGCAGTGCTGAATAGGTGGAGATGGAAATAGGGCTAGTAAGAATGCTGCTGGTACTGAAAGTCTTTGATCTCCTCTTAGTGGTGTCCGCGAGGGAGGGTTGGAAAAGGACAGCATTGGTAATACCATGCAAATTTTTTCATTGCGCATTGGCTGATCAAGTACAATGTGCAGAGTAGGGGGACCTTAGAACCAAGGAAGGTGAAATATTGTCAAGCTCAGATGTATGTTTGGAATTTTTTGTTGGAGAATTGGGGGTTGCTTTGCTGATCGGGGGGGGGGGGGTGACTTAGTGATGCAGTACAGCCTTCTAAAACAAGAGAAGATGCAAATAACTTTTTGGAGAGGTTTGATCATGTCAAAGTTACTAAAACATGTGAGGAGGAATCAATGGACACAGCTTGATTTGGAAGCTGGCAGCAGTTTCTGGTTTCTATTTTTATGTTTTCAAACCAACTAATATTTTCTTTGGGGAGTGTGATATTTTTAGAAGGTCTGCAATTAGTAGAATAGGAAAGTATTAGGGAATTACTATTTTGTAGAATTTCTATATTCTGGTTCCTATGTTAGAAGTTTCTATTTGTAGGAGATTTTAGGATTTAGGAGTCACATGCAGTTTTAGTTATAATCTTTGTGGAGTTTATCTCTAAATGTAAATATGTCCAGAACAGCAGAATTGAATGAGTTTGTTGGGTAGCTGCTCAAGCTCAACACAGATCCTCTCCAAGGGAAGATGACCTCCTGAGTTAGAATTAGAAGAAGAGAAAAGGAAGAATGATGGTAAGACTTTATTCAAAGTTCCCTTATGTAGATACAATGTCATTTTATATTGGTTCAGCTACCATTGTAACTGACTTCCAACCAAATTATAACAACTTGGCAACATGTTCAGCTAACCCCAACTGTCTTTGAAACTGACTCACTAGGCTGACATGGCCTCCTTACTTGTTCTAGAATATACCTGCAGCTTCTGCTAATTTGCTTCCCTAACATCTCCCCCCTCCTCAAAATGGCCATTGTCCTAGAGGTCAAGATGCGGGAAATGGTGGGCTAACTCAGTGCAAGGCTCCCATGATGCTTCTTCAACTGGAAAGCCTTCCCAGTGCACTAGTGCCTCTTTGGGCTGTAAATTGGAACCATCCTTTGTGAAGTCTGGTAATGTAGAGCATACAGTAGTATTTGGGTTGACTGCCTTCTTTAGGAATGGGATATGAAAAACCAGGTGAAGCTTGGAGGTCATCGGCAGTTCTCACTTGTAGGCTAGTGATCCTATGTGCTGGATAACTTTCCATGGAACCAACGGGAGAGTTATTGCAGGCATGGGAAGCCACCGAAGTTTGTCTGTATGGCCGGAGCTCGAGGTAAATAAACTCCCTACTTGGAACTCCATGGGTTGGTGCTTTGCATCATAATGGCGCTTCATCTACTCCTGCGCATGTGCCAGATGTGTCTTAAGCTCTTGAAGGATTTCATCACGTGAGGAAAGACACTCATCAATTGTTGCATTGGTGGAGGAGCCCTTCTTGTAGGGGAGGATGGATGGTGGATCTCTGCCATATAATGCTTTGAATAGTGTTATACTGGCTGACACGTGGAAGGCAAAGTTGTACCAGAACTCTGCCCATGGCAGCCATTGTACCCATTGCTTTGGTCTGTCCCCCACAAAACATCACAAATAGGTTTCGTTACATCTGCTAAGTGTTAACAACCTCAGTTTGTCCATCAAACTGAGGATGATAGCTGGTAGAATTTTTGTGCTTGATGCCCTATAGCTTAAAATATTCTCTCCAAAAATTGCTAAGGAGGGGTCTCAATCTGATACAATTGCTTTTGGTGTCCCATGTAACCATGTAATGTCTCTGATAAACGTTTCTGCCACCATGGCAGCTATGTAAGGATGGACTAGAGGTATAAAATGACTGTATTTTGAGAGGTAGTCAACAACAACAAATAGAACTGGTTTGCCCTTTGAGACTAGTAACCCCATGATGAAGTCCATTAGACCTTGTCTGTTGTCCCACACTTGGTCCGGGATCCGTAATTGCTATAAGAGGCCTGCTGGATGTTGGGCTTCATATTTCTGCTGTTGACAGACATCATATGAAGTCACATAGTCCCTGATCATCTTCTTCCCCAGTAATAATGGGCTTCCAAGCACTTGTATGTTTTGAAGATGCCTGAATGGGCTGAAGTGGCTGGAATAACCAATCAACCTTTGTAGAAAAGTGTTGAATCACAAACTGAATAACCTGGGGTAGTGGTTGGGCCTCAGACTTGAGTAGTTTCAACTTTCAACTTTCAATAGTGGGTAACTGGGCCTGGACACCATAAGTTGGGCCAATTCTGGGAGCCACTGCAGTGCATCAGCAACATGATTAGTTGTTCCTGGTTTATACTCGATGACATAATCATAGCCCATGAGTTTATGGGCCCAATGCTGCTGTTCAGGTGTATGAAATTTCTGATCAAGTAAGAACTTCAGGGTTTTGTGATCTGTTCTAATTATGTACCAGTGGCCTAAGAGATAGGCCCGATGCTTCTGGACTGCAAGGATAACTGCCATGAGTTCCTTCTCATAGGCGGACTTAGCTTGAGGTTGCAGTGAGAGCACCTTGCTGAAATAAGCTAGTGGTTGCCCGTCTTGCATTAACAAAGCCCCTAGACTTGTCCCAGATGCATCACATTCAAGTGTAAATTGTTTAGAGAAATTAGGTAACAAGAGAATGGGCGGTGTAGAGATAACTTGCTTTAAAGTGGCAAAAGCTTGATGGGCCTGCTCGTTCCACTGGAATGCATCTTTGTGCAACAATTGAGCGAGTGAGACGATCAGCATTGCATAGTGTAGTATGAAATGCCTATTGT